AAAAAGTTATATACATATATTTAATGTAAGTTTCGTAAAACGATCCGACATTTTGTTTTTTTTCTTAATAATTACACAACAAATGCAAAAAAAAAATTTTTTACAGCTTCATATACATTAACTTTGTATCATTTGTGTCAACAAAAAATAATAATAATAATAATAATTAATCAATCACTTTAGTTTTTGTTATTAATAATAATAATAATAATTTAACTTAATTAGTTAATTATTTATTAATTTTTTTTGTTCGAATTTTTAATTTTAAACTTCACACAATAAAAACTTTATTATTTAATAATAAATAATCGTTACAAATAAATTTTATTTATTGTTATTATTCGAAACATTTACTTGTAAATAACGTTTTCGGTGAATTTCTTATTCAACGAGAAGCCATCTTTAATTTTTAATAAAAAAAAAAAAAGTATAAGAGAGAAAGAGATAGAGATATAAAGAAAATTAAGTGCAATAATTCCCTCGGTTTTAAATCGACCAATCAAATTGTTTGAATTTAACGTCAGGGGGTTTTGCAAACTTGTTTCCCCGCCCCTTTTTATTTTAAAAAAAAAAAATTTTTATTAATTTTTTTTTTTTTAAATCTTACACATAATATATATTAATAACGTCATAAAATTATGTATCGATACATAGTATTTATTTATTTATTTAACGTAAAAGAAAAAAAAACTTTTTTAAATATAATAATTAGAAAAAAAATTAATTAATTATAGTTAATTAATAGATAAGCACATAATTAAATATTATCTTTCAAGTGTACACACATTATCTAATATATATGTTACCATGGTTTTTTAGATAAAACTACAAAAAAATAACGGTCGAAAAAATTATTTAAATAAATTTACATCGTAAATAATATTTACAAAAAAAATTTAAGTGATAAAACAATAAATTTTTTTAATTATAAATTTCCATACAATAATAATAATAAAAAAAAAACTTTTGAAACTTTAACGTTTTTTCAAAAAATCCAATAAAATATTTTATTTAAATACAAAAATTAATTTTGTCACTCGGTTCAAAGTTTAATTTTTTTTTATATAAGTCGGATTAAAATTGTTTTTTTTTTTTTTTTTATTAAAATTAGACGCATGCAACAAACAAGGGAGCTTATAAAGAACCAAATGATTATTTATATACAAAAGGTAATAAATGTTAGAAAAAAAAAAAAAGGGAGTTTTAGCATTAATATTATCAAATATATTGAAGTGGAAATAATAAAAAGAAAAAGAAGGGCTTTTCCAATTAAATGATACATAATCCCTCATCTCACCTGCAATCTCAACCGGTGACTCATTCATTTTATATATTTTACATTGTTATATTTTATCCCCCTACCCCTACCTCCCCTCGCCCCGTATTACATGCGCCAGCTATTTTCTCTAATTAAATACTATTTTTACTTTCATCTTAAAAAACCAATTTTTTCTTTATTACTAACGGAGAGATGAACCATACAAAAACTATTGTTTGACGGTTTGATTTCACAGCCGTCAAATAAAATCCTTTTCCTTTCTTTATCTTTTTTTCAAATTAATATAAATGATTTTTTATTGATATTTTTAATAGAAAACGCTTGTACAATTTTTTACAACAAAAGTAAAATATTTTTATTAACTAATAAATCTAAATGTAACGACAATCAAACAATTAAAAAAAAAAAACAAAATACATCAATTTTTTCTATAATATATATAAAATTTAGTAAAAGAAAAATTATTTGTGAATAGTATTTAAAAATATTACTTTTTATTACTGTTGGTAATGTTTCCAATACTTAAAATTAAATTAATTAAATAATTAAACTTAAAAACAAATTTTTATTAACTTTTTTTCATAAGTAATAAAATAATTTAATAAGAACACAATATGAATTAGTTGTTTGAATTATGTTTTTGTCTGATAATAAAACTTTATTAGTTAAACTAAAAAACTTTTTTTAATACTGACAAATTAAAAATAATAAGAATCTTATTAACTAATTTTAAAATTACAATGCTTAAAATTTTATAATGATTGATACAAACATTGTCGCAATTAAATACTAATGTATAAAAAAAAAAAACAAAAATTTACTTAAATAATAACAATAATACTGTTTATGAATATTTTTTTTTTTTTAAACCAATGTAAATCATAAATAATCATACATTATCCCAACCCTGAAAGTCAGATTCATCCGATTTATCATTTGATGAAATTCCATTGTTTATTTGAACAACTTTACAGAAAAATTTAATGCAATTTTCAATTTCGCAGTCAACATGTGATAAATCTTCATTCGAAACAATATTACCAGCATTATTATTATTATTAAAATTATTTTGATCAGGGCTCACATTTTCTTTTGATTCTTCTTCATCTTCTTCTACTTCACAATTAAGATTTTCATTTGTTAGCTTACTCAAATTGTTTTTTTTTATTTTTTCCCATGGTGGTGGCGGCTGATTTTCCATTCTTTCCATTCTGAATCTATAAATTCTATGTCCTGTTTTACCCCTAGCTTCCCAATACTTCACAACTTGATATAAACCTTTTAAAAATATTTTATTTTTTAAAAATTAAAAGCTTTTGCTAGTAAAGAAAGAAGCAGAC